AATGTATGGAGCACTGGGACTCATCCCAAGACTCCACAGCAGATGTGCCTGGCCTGAGTAACCTCCATTGCAATGTATTGGGTCATCCCTTGAAATCAGTAGTAAAGGTATCATCAAAAAAATTATTTCTTTGTTTCTCATTCAAGTGTGACTGTAATCTTAAAATCTCTCCAACTGGGTGGGAATCTTCTTTTGCAGCACAGAGCATTCTAAATGCTCTTTGTTAAGCATGGAACAGGGATCAAGAGAGCCACCTATAGCACATTCTATCTAATTAGCACCTTTTGCCCACTGAATGCTATGTTGTCTAGATAATTTCCTTCTCCTTACTTTATACGGCCCTCTAATCAGTAGTTCTACAAGATAATGTTTGGAGGCACTTTTCAGAAATTAGGTTGTCTTATTTCTGTTGCGGTGTCCACAGGAAGAAGGGTCAAAAATGTTAAGATGGCATCCATGATCAGATACCTGAAGCCCCATCCCTAAAGGGCCAGGGCTTTGATTGCACGGTTGTGGACATGATCTTGACTTCTTTTACTCCCCAGCAAACCCCCTATATGTAAAACACATTTTCCACCTTGTGTTTCATGTTTTATACAACTTTTTCAGTGCTACAACAAAAGAAGCAACTAACAGCAAAATTTACTCCTAAACTGTTTAAACAAACAAACTTATGCACACACATATATACACAAAAGCAAACATTCTGCAGTTGTAAGAAAAACTTCCTTTGTTCATTTATTTGGAAATAAATAGCATTTTGCTGCAGAAAAATATGACATTCAAAACATAATAAAATTAGCACCTGTAAGTAGCCAATCCTCTTGAAAAAGCTAAACAGGGTTACTATATGGAAGGAGATCTCCAGGAAGTAGCAGAGTTGTCGGCTACGTTGGAGGGTCAGAAAAATAATCCCAGACACTACTGTCAAGAAAATAATAAGTCAGCAGAAGTCAAGGCTGGCCTCAGGGAATCCTGAGCTTTAAACTGTGGCATGAGCTACACTCCTCTCTTCCCCTAACTTTGCCATCATAAAACATTTTTAAAACCACTCAAAAAGGATGTTCCAAGGAACAGCATCACTCCATCACAGAGATTTTAATGCAAGACCTATTTGACATAGTTCCCATCATGTCCATAAGATGGCATGAGACATTTTTGCTCCAAGTCCTCAAACTTACAATAACCTCTACTGTTAATACTACACTGAGTATGTTCAAATTCAACATGGTACCTGCTTTCCCCCTCTCTCTTTCCCTGCCTTTCTTGAAGAATACTGGTCTCTTTTAACACAATTCAGCACTACCCTGTAAGTAAACTTCTTACAAGATGAGTGTACATCTGGGAGTGAGTGGGAGATTTTATCTCCCAGATATATATTTATTTACAACATGTTTATACTGCCCATATCAGTAGAACATAAAAACAATCCATACAATAAAATATCATAGTACCCCCCTTCTCCAGTGCAGGAACCTATACAAGCGTATACAAGAACAGCAGCAGTCCAGTCCCCATTAAGCTTCAAAAGCCTGTCTGAATGAAAGTGTTTTCACAGCCTTGTGAAATGCCTGTAAGGAGGACCCTGGGTGCACTTCTAAGTTTAAATGTTAATTCTTGATTTGCTTATAAAAGGATAGTGTGCAAACAGATGCAACATCATGACACACTGATTTTTGTAAAGAATTAAAGTCATGTATATAAGAAAACCATAGAAATATTTTGCTGAATAAGAATCAAGTTTGCAACAGTATGGGATGAGTAGGTTCAAAAACTTTATTACATCCAAGGCTTTTTGGTCCTTTTCTACAGTCTTCCCTTTGCTTTTACAATCTCTCTCCCCCTCAAGGCTTTTTATAAAAGAAAGAGCAACCTGACTCCAGTCCAAATATATTTTCCCCAATGCTCTGAAATAACATATGAAAATGGTAATCTGATTTACACTTTCTACAGAATAAACTGGGCTGAATACTAGGTAAACATGCTTTATGCTGTTTGAGAGAAAACTTTGTTAATTGAACACACTTGCTTCCACAAGTTGCTTACATCCTTTCCAAACGTAACACAAAGCATATTTCCGCTGAGATCAGTCCCTCGGAAATCTTTAGATTTTATTTCCAGGAATGTTTGTGAGCCTCTGGCATGTTCTTTTTTCTCTCTCCCTTCCTTTCTGTCTTTCTCGTTAACTCACTCATTCTAAAGTAGAATAACTGCTGTACCTTGTTTACGTCCCAGAGAACCAATCTGCTCCCATGTTTGGCAAATTCAAAGGCTGTGAGTCTTCCGATGCCGTGGGCAGCTCCAGTGATAAGGACAATTTCATCAGTGACAGATTTCCTCTTCACAGGAATAAAACATTTCACCAAAGCTTCAATATAGGAATAGATTATAATAAGTAAAAACCAGAGGATATCAAATATGAGATGCATTCTTGCTTTCTTCTACAAAGAATCTCCTGGGATTTGACACATCATTGGGAGGACTTTGTAATATAATAGGCTATTCATCTGGTAACTAGAGTTCTTGCAAAACTCCACCCTATGCAAATCCACTTAGAAAATAAAGCAGAGGAGTCAAGTCACCTGCTCTTTTAAGTTTATGACAATCAGCATCTTGGCACAGAGCTATCACCTAGGGGTAATAAATAAGCCTTTTTCTTTTCAGCAGTTCTGACTCTTTCAGAGATTGTTATGATAGGATAAGTTGCAATATTATTCAATTATTCAATTCCTTCTTCCATTAAAAAAATACAAAATAGCTGCACAATATGTTTTCAGTTAGAAGGAGTAGCAGCTGTTGAGTAAAGCTGAATGGTAGCATATTTAGGACAAATAAAAGGAGCTGCTTTTTTACCCAGGCCCTTGTTACCAACAATAGAACACATTTGCACAAAATGGAGAGATGACAGCTGGCTATAAAACAGGAGTAATCAACTGTATAGAGGAAAAGGTTAGTAATGACAACTAGTCATAATGGTGATATAGAGTCACTTTTATGTGAGATGGGCGGCTATATAAATATGATAAATAGAAAAATAGGGTCACACAGAGAAACTTCTTTTTTCCCCCTTAATGGCTCTTTCCCCCAATTTTATGAAACCTCTCATGGGACTTTTCCTGCTACTCAGTGGAAATGATCCATACCTATCTTTAAGTTGGCAAAACACTACCGAGGGACAGAAACTGCTATTTCCATTGTTGATCTTATCCTGCCTCTATTGTCTCTGTTCTTGGTCCCTGCTAGACTCCTAACTTCCCTGCAGATAACAGGTGCAAAACCCAACACACTTGGGTTACACTCCTTGAGGCTGCTTTTGGATGGAAGTGGCATAAGGAGGAAAAAGCTAATTTACTATTGGAATAACTTAAGCATGCCTCACGAATGAAACAAAGATGTCACTGGAGTATATTTATGCCACGGTTTTGTGAGAGATAAGGAAGTAGTGTTAAGTGTTATGGTTATCAAATTGTGGCAGATGGAGAGGAAGTTGTCTCCTTGTGTGGGACAATGTAAATACAAATTAATTTGGAGCAATCTTTTTCAGTATAAAGCTGAAACCTTGAGCAACGACCAGGAAGAAATCCTAGAGTGGCCGGAAAGACTGTACACCCTGAGTACCTTAGCCAATGGGGAAAAGGGGAAGGACTTGCCATCGGGAATGTATATAATTATGCCTGAGTTTGTATGTGGGTGTGGCTTCCCGCTTGCACCCTGCGAGGCCCACCAGCCTTTGCAAACGCTTTTAATAAAACTTTTTACTTTTGGGTAATTCAGAGAGATTTGTGTCGCTTGTTTCGGACAGTTTGGTGCAAGTGGGGAAATGCATAAAGGCTTTAAATGTTCTAGAGGCCATTAGGATCTGGATGAAGCTAAAAAAACTCAGATTAAATCCTTCCATAATTGAACTGCTGTGGTTTAATAAATATCAAAAATTTGGAAGCTTTAATTGGTCCAGAATGAGGCACTGTTGGCGGATCAGCCCTGCCACTGCAGAATAACTCTGTTTCTGAAATCACTGCCTGGTTACCATTAGACTTCTGGATTAAATTGAAAGTGGTGGTTATTAGCTACAAAGCTCTACTTCTCTCCCTCCTGGTACTCCCTAAAGTGATGCAAACATTATTTCACTCTGCCCCAGTTAATTTTTGTGAGCCTTCCTCTTCAGTAGTTTGATCTGGTTTTGTTATGCCACCCAGTATCTAATGATCCTAGGTGAGCATCCTACAGAAATTCTTGGGGAAGTCCAAAGGCCCAGTAATAACAGATCCATCCAGAAGTTCAAAGCCTACCCAGCTATTTCCAGTCAGGTGTCCAAGAGGCTACACTGATTTCAGGGGCCAGGCTTCCCTACTGGGAGAGCAGAAGCTCATGCATTTTGATTTGATAGATGAATTACTCCGGATTATTATAGATATGCCCATTGATATTGCTGGGGAATTCTGGGAGTTGAAGTCCACCTTAAAGTTACCAAATTAGAAAAACACTGTTAGATTATAATCAAAATTGCGGAGCATTTTTAAAAAGTTGAAATAAATGCATCAATGGAGTGGGGGAAATTTGAATCCAATCAGAGAGAACCCGAATCGCCTCAGTGGATTTTTTAAATGGACTCTTACGGGCGGCAATGATGGCTTCGTTAATAAAGACTGAATTTATAAAGAACGTTTCTATCTCTGCGGAGTCCGTAGAAGTATAATTCTCCTCTCTTTGCATATTTTTGCATACGAAATAATTTTAAAATAGTATTTTCTACAATTAACGCCATTGAGCGCGGCTCTACACTTTTTCTATCTCTACGGCTGAGGAAGACGGTTGAGACAGAGGCATGAAAAGACCGGCTCGCCAACGGGCGGTCACATGCTCGGCCCAAACCCAATCAGAAGCTTGCACCCATGTGACGTAAACCCTTTGCGACGACGTTTGAGGGCAGAGGGAAACGAACCACCGCGCCGTTTTAATTACGACATCCAGTGGGCGGGGCTACAAAGAGCCTTAGGATGGCACTTTCGTGGCATTGGCAGGAGTTGGTGTCTTTTTTTGAAGGGGCGGAAGAAGTGCAGAGAAGTAGCCACTGGGTAAGAGGAGGAAATAGGCAGGTGTTCAGCCATTAGCCAATCACGAGTCGGCGATTTGTTTGAAGGCGGGATCACGCGATAAAGAGGCGGAAGGAAATTTGACAGGGTGAGTCTGCAGGAAGGAGGGAGCGGAACGGAAAATAAATTCGTTTCCCCCCTCCTCAGATTATAATTACCTCGTTTAAGGAACATATCATATTTATATATATATATATGTAACTTCATACACACATATTTAGATAGAGGAGTATTTGCATCTATATATCACATATTACATATGTATTATATATTCCTTATTTATTAATTATCAGGCTGGAGACATGGTGCTAAGCCATGTCTGCTTGTCGGATAACTCACAATTGGGATTTGCACAATGCGTTCGGCCCAAAAACCAAACAAACCACATTGTGGCATAATGTGTTGCCTGAACTCAGCCCTCACTATATCTCTCCTTTTCTTCTAAGTCACTTAATGGTGATGGATGTCTGGCTCCTTTCTCTCTCTCCAGTTTTTACCTCACAACAACCCTGTGAGGTAGATTATACCGAAGGTAACATCTGCCTTAAGGTCATCCAGCGTGCTTCCTAGTTGGGTGATTTGAACCAGCATAACTGAATAATCTTACTTCACATAAGTAAAATATAAATAATATTCTGCTTACCCATAGGGTGATGGGTGACAGTATAGAGATAAAACTATATCCTTACCCATAAATAAAACTATCGCCTTGCCATCAATAGAGGGATGGCAAGGTATAAGAAATGTAAGTACAGTAAAACAAATATAAGTAAAATGTAAATGAAAGAAATCATATGTTTCCTAAAAAAGAAAGGCTGAAACTGGGGGGTAATTTCCATTTAACTTTCAGGATTTTCATAGGAATGGGCATCTATAAGACTGACTATAATTTCATGTATTATATCTTGTTCACTCATTTTAACCATGCTGTATCAATGTTATTTTAATTAGAATCTCATTAATATACATGTGTTTCTTATCTGTGATTAATACTACCAATGAAAAGAGAAAGTCAAATGTAAAGAAATACTGTATTGGACTCTAGAGAAATACCCTGTTGAACTAATGATGCACATGAACAAAACTCCTATTCTATTGCTAGGAAGTTTTGGAACAGATCATTATAGTCTCTAGTATCACTATCGTTTAGAGATCAAATCGCCAACATTCGCTGGATCATGGAGAAAGCACGAGAGTTCCAGAAAAATATCTACTTCTGCTTCATTGACTATGCAAAAGCC